TATCCAATAATCTTGATTGTAGTTAATTAAAATAATAATTTTGATTTAGCAATAGAAAATTCTTAATAAAGTTATTCAGAACTTTGAAAGTCAATAATAATTAACAATTAACAAAATATCAAAAAAATCATCATTCTACTAAAAATCCCCTGAAAATACTTGAGGATGTTATGTATTGAAAATAGAGATGCAATAAATATATCGTATAATTACAATAATGGTGTTTTTTAATTTGTTATTAACTTTATAAACTATCTAATAAATATAGAAAATTCGTTCATTCTCCACCACTATATTATAAGTAAAATTTATGTTAATTAATTATGGATTTTGTTTGGAAATAGGTAGTTATACAAAATATGTTCAGCAATTATTTTTGATAGTTTTGAACGAGAGCCAAGATCGCCAATATAAATACAGCAAGGTTGCAGTGCAGTTTATTAGCACTCCGCTGCGATATATATTTATGCATTCCTCGTTTTCATTTTTGCGCAGTTTTTTCGCTGCCATCATCGTCGTTTCGATGCCATTCTAATCAACGGAATTCATGTAACGAAAATAAATCATATCCACTAACAATCCCGATGGGAATTCGCCAATGGCTTGATTATATTTTATGCCTCGAACGAGAGCTGCGCGCTAACTGTTAAAACGTGTACCGTAATTAATGCATCCTTAATTGATCCTTGCATATGCGGACTACACGTTCGCTTTATTTCAGACCGACCCACACTTTCGCACTAATCACCCTGCTGTGTGGACATAGCCTCATCGAGCTACCTTAATTGTTATCCAACTTTGATTTAGGAATTTAAAAAAAAAACTCTCTCTCGTACACCTGTGAACCAATTTAATTATCTCCATTCGGAAATACTCTATGCGGTTCCTTATTTTAGACTTACACTATAACAATGCATGCATGTATTTGAAAATTATTAGCGTAGAATCTAAAGAATGAGGAACATGAACGAGCGTTTATTAAAATGTTTTATTTCATTACATACTAAATGTATGATAACAATACAATGTAGTTATTTTAATGATCGTTTTACGATTAATTTCTCTGCCGCACCTTGTAATAATAATTTTATCAAGTTTTGTTTTCATTACAATTACTTTCAGGGCTTTGCATATGATAAGAATTCGAAATTGGACGTCGTTTTATGAAAAAATAATCGTGATATGATTAACAAAGTCGAACACTGCATTCCCTTTGATCCGGCACATTTACATCATTTATAAATGGTAATATTTCCCATTTTTTTTAAGTGGATCGTTCTTTTCGTGCAGAGAGTAATGCGGTACTAATAAGAGAACATTAGAAGGAATTGTTTATGGAATGGGCCCCGAGCCCTCAATAATGTATTCGTTATAACATAAAACACACAAGACAAGTTTCTCTCCTACGTATCGCATGCAATATGCCAGTACATCATGAAACACTAAAAACCGTTTACATTCGTCGGAGGAACCCCAAGCAAAAGAAGAATGGAAAAAAAGAACAACATGCAAACAGCAAATATTACGAGAAATTTTAAACGCAAAACCGATTTGATTTCGGCGAGGGTCGAAACAGGAAACGGTAGTGCAGCAACGGCAACAACAGCACGCTGCGGAGCGATTTCATTGTTCGCAGAAGTACACTTCCGTTGCGGGAATTCTGAATTAGTCCACTGCACCGGAGGATTTATTCCAATTTCCACTGGAAATAACTTCCCGATTCGGCACACTTACTTGGTTACTACTTTTTCCTCATCTTCATCCTTCTGCTGCTGCTGCCGACCGACTCCCATTCGAATCAATAAATAAAAAGGATCGGAAAAGGAAAAGAAACACAAATGAAGCAGTCGAGGAAGCGAATGCAGCGCTGAATAAATAATGGTTCTTTATATTAAGCTTCCTGCACTAACGCAGCGCAAACATAACAGTGTAATGGCCATATTATCATGGAAAAAAAAGTCATTTTCATATTTCATCTTTACTGATTATCGTTTTGAACTTTAATATTTTCTGATGTTGCAAGAAGTAACATAATTTAAAATGAGTTATCATTATTTTCTGTTAGGTTAAGTTTATACAAAGTCCTTGATTATATTTTATTATGATTAAATCAGATTAAATGTTCATTTTGTTAAAAAAATCTACTAACTTAACAATAGTTTAAAATATATATGTATCCTTGAAAGATTAATAAATTCTGAAAATACTGTATCTCATTAAATGAAGATCAGTGTGAATAATTTAGTAAACATAAAAGAGTATGGATATATTAATTATCGAAGTAAATGATTTACAAGTTGATTAACTGATTTTACAATTAGTTCAAAGAAGATGGTAACAAATGCGTTCGGTGAAAATGGAACGAAAGTAAAGAAAAAAAAAGTAAATGAATGCATAAGAGAGTAAGACGAAGATTAATAAAAACAAGAAGGAGCAGATGAGTGTGGAAGCAAAAACAGTTTAAATACATCTCGTTAATCGCCGTTCCATTATGCAATCTTTCTTCCTTCTGCGTCGCTCCATCTTTCTTGCTTTTGTTTTTAATTCCGGCTAAAATTCTTCTCTGCTCCTCGTCTTCCTCATTCGTTTGCTTCTTCCTTTTCGTTGCCCGTCTCTCAGTTATTGTTGTCGTTTCTTCTTTTTTTCCATCATTATTTTTTTTGTATGCATGTTGTTGCTGTTGGCCTCATCTTCTTCGTCTTTCGTCCGAGATGTGATTGATTTCTTGTACGTGTGCTGCGGCCTTACATGCCTTACGCGCGCACCATATAATGAATCAAGTTGTTGAACAAGTAATTTATAATTCTAATTAGTAATAGGCCGTTGAGTTTATTTTCGAGATGATTAATGGGCGTGCGGTAATAATGCCCCGGCCGCAATATAACACAGATGTTAAGTAAGCAAGGAGAACGGTGTTATTGAATGTTACGTGCGCGGAGGCCCTAGATAACTAGATAAGACGTCCGATGCGATGATTTATACAGCGATATCCGCGCCGAAAAAGGATTCTTGAAGAAGGATTTGAACATATCGAGGAAGACAGAAGCGAGATGGAATGATGAAGGAGGAATTACGAAACTGATCGTGTCTCCCACTGTCTCCCATCACGTGGGACCGTATCCAGTTTAATTGCGCGCAATCAACTTATTGTCCTCATTTTCTCTCTTTTTTTCCCTTTCCAACTGGTCTTTTTATTTCATCTGGTCTTCTTGTTAATCAAGGATGGATGAAACCTCGCTTTAATCAGTGCGCGGACTAATTCGCGTCACCGCCGAGAGCCAGGAATATATTATATGCCAGAGAAACCTGAATCGGGTTGGTCTCATCGCGCGAATACCCACATACCTTATAGATCAATTTCCCGATCATTACATGCCATTCGATGTCGCTCGGATAAAAAGAGAAACACGACGTCGATTCAATCCGCACTTTTAATTTTAGCTAGAATTCAAATCAAAACCGTCATTTGCATTCCATTACAAGCCATTATTATCATTATATACGATCAGTTATTTATTCATTATAATTAATGTATTTAATGAACTTGTAAATTAGTTATTATACGACAATTATTTAAGATATTTTCATATATTTATGAAAGATATATTGCATTTGGAGATTCAATTAAGAACTTTTACACACTATATGTCTTCTATGGGTACGCTATAATCACAGGTCATCTGCTTATTAGCCATAAAAATATTTTTTTTATATCGTATAATTTTATTCACAATCTGTTCATCAATGTGAATATTGAATAAATTTAAGATCGCGGTTGACATTGAATGGATAATCTTTTCCGGTGGATAGTTATCATTATGATGATTTGATTTTAATTTGTTGGTTGGCTGTCGTCTTGTAGGTTAACTTCAGTAATATATTAATGCTCTGCGATTCCACTATTTCCTTTCACTGTGAATCTGCTGCTATCCTTAACACTGTCATTGTCCATCGACTTGGTTGAAGGTCCGTATGCTGTACCTCATTCATTTGACTGTGATGAACGATGGCCCTATTGCTGCAAGCACTCACAGGGAGCCTGGCTTGACCAGGATTCGAACCGTGGCCGGTTCGATCGTGAATAGGGCAACTTAAGCATTCGGCTATTAGTTTCCCTACTTCTAAAAATATAAGAAAAAAATAATTAAATAATTGAAACTTTAAAACGGGTGATGATTTTCAGACTATTTTTTTCTGAATGGAATCATTTCACCTAACATCGAATATGAGTGAAATTGTAATGTATAAAATGTGTATACAACAATTATGATGTCCTCTATACATTGCGAGATGTTAACTATCATAATTTAATTGAAGTTGGATGATTTTAATAATCAACAAATGTCTTTTGTTTTTAGAATGTTTGTTGAAAAATAAAATGTGTATATTAAATACGACAATCTATTGTTATTTAGTTGCCTTTTTAATATATTGATATATAAATTGACTAAATTAAAGCAATGAATACTTGATAAATCGTAAAACATGTTTATTTTTTGATTTTCGCCTATATTAAATATTGAATATGTAAATTAGAGCTAAAATTATTGAGAATAAAATGTGTCTAAATTAATTTAGATATGTTTTTTGTAATTAAAGCTACAAGTCAACACAGTTGATATAATAAAATATGAGTCATAGAAGCATTATTATTATATGTCAAGTACTGTCCTTAAATTTGTGTTATTTCTTGTGTTTATTAAACATTGGAGCATATGGAGCAGTGGCGTAACAAAAAGGGAAGATGAGGATAAGTATGAAGATGAAATCTAATATTATGAAGAATAGAATATTTATATAAGTGTCTTCTTTGCATTCCGAACTGCAAGCTCTTATAATTTTGCAGCAATGAAATATAAAAGCTCAAAACAAAGAAAATGACTACAAAGACAGCTTCAACAAAAGTAAACAAAAGATTGAATTAATAAAAACTTTGAAGTAATAAATTTACATCTTTTCAATATATTTATTTTATAAAAATAATCAATAATTTGGTAACGTTATGAGTTGCCAGATATGTTACGATTTAACAACGTGGAGCTGGCTGCGACCAATTCCGCCCGAAGATACTTTTTATTGACGTAGTTGTACATGTTGAAGACAAAAGCCCATGAGACTGCGTAAAACATTATGGCCAATCCTTTGTACTCCCAATCATGAGTGGGATTAGAGACTATTTGATAGCCAACGAAGGTACCCAAAATGATCCTGAATACCAGGAAGAAGGCGATGAACGTCCACTCCACCCCAGTGAACACTGTGGTTTTCTGGAAGCCGTGCGTCCTCAAGAACCAACGAACCTGCAGCAAAGGATTCGTCAGCTCCATTCCGCCCAAAGAACATGCCGCCTGATTACCGTACTGATCCTTCTGCAGTGTCCTGTAGATTGCGAAGCAACTGTAGATGTGGTGGGCGATCATAACGTTAGTTTCAGTTTTGTAATACAAGCACCAGCCCAAATCGAACAGGAAGTAGCCCAGACTGAGAAGAAGCACCGTCATTTGCGAGTTAGTCACGTAATCGTTGGACGTGCTGAAAGCCCAGCCGTCTACGAAACACTCCCCAATCCCCAGGTAAGCAACGATGCAGGCGTGCACAAGGGTTACAATCCGGTTCGAATACTCGGCAGATTTATCTTTGAAGACACACTCCAGGGCTTTGTAGAATCCGTACCACATGCATATGGTCGGTAATATCATCAAGATAATTCCGTGGCCGTTGGCAAACATCACTATGACATTTTGAAGCAAATTTTCGAAATAAAAAAAAAGGAACAGCTTTCGAAAATCGAAGTCACCTCAGCTATAGAAACAATCGCAGTGGGGACGAAATAGTACCTGACGTTTTGTTGTTTTCTTTTCTCTTTTCGCTGTAATTTAAAAGGTAAATCAAATTTTATTGCATTATATAAGATGCACGAAAGTATGTTTTATTTGTAGATGTCGCTGAAGAGCAAAGAGTCCAAAATGAAGACAACCTTTAAGCCGATGAAACCCAGCAATCAGATTGCGAGCAAGAGTCACCACTGCGTAAAATGTTTCCTTATGAAGAGACTCTGGATGGTCTCAGTTAACATGTACGACTTCATGGGGCTGATTGATATGTGCCCGTGCAGCAGCCTACACGTAATTAACCCGTACATTAGATCTTAAGGATATTAGAAAAGTAAACAAATTAAAAGTATTCTCTTGCATCAATTTATTAAACGCTTCTCGCTTCTGTTCAACACCTGCCGCACGTTCATGTTAATCCTGTTGTTCTTCAAGTAGTTCGAATACCGATCGTAGGAGTCTTCCCAAGTTACAACACTCGGTTCAAGGATTCTTGGCACTCCGTGGTAGGACAATCGGGAGTCTCTGCTCATTATAATTACGTCACCGCTCCGGATCATTAGAGCCGTTGGCTTAACGTCCAAAGTTTGTCCGCCTAAGAGGAAAATCGCCGAACTGCCGAAACTGAAGGACAGTAATGGCGCTTCCAAGTTTTGCTCGGAGTGGTCAGTATGACCGGACAACGTCGAGTCCAAGTGATAAAAGTTTATTATCGCAGCCTCCGCGTTAAACTTCTTGAAGTTCAGTTGGTTGCATATCGAGCAACACAGCTCATTCAAATCACCAGGAAATTCATTCTTGGATTCCTCATTATAAACCTACAACAAAAATACATATTGATACTAAAACAATAATACTCATATTAAAATATAAATATACTTTAGTATCCCAATCATGATGATAACCCAAAGTGGCCCATCTCAGCTTCTTCAAAACACTATCATCTTTTTCACAGTAATCCCACCAATCAACACCTGTAGGCAGCAAATTATGTGCATCAATATTTAACTTATTAGGCTTCTTAGTAAAATCCCTCAAGCATCTCACACTCCAATAATTTTGTCCAGCAGTAGTAAAGGGATTTTTTATGTATATCAAACCAGGGTTAGCTTCAATTTCGTATATTTCCCATTCATTCGCCGGTATCAACCCATGGATGCAGTCTACAGATTCTAGTTTCTCCTTCTTTCTGTACTAACCCAAAAAAAAATCTTTTAATAACAAAATTTGTATTTGTTTCAACAACTTACAAGGCTCGAATCTACATCCTCTATTTGATGAAAATCTATCACATCGTCCAATACAGGTGGAGGCTTCTTTGATTTGTAATACTTAAAGCTTTCCTTAAACATCTTTAACACCTTTGAAAGCAAGGTTATGTTACGTGTCAGAACAATAAATAAATAATTAAATCATATCTCAATAAATAATTAATAAAAGTTAATTAATATTTAATGATTATCATTGTTTATTAAACTTAAAAGCAATTAAAAATATTTTTCAACAATTATAATAGCGACATATAATATATAAGATCCATGATTTGTCACGTAAGTTGCATAGATAACATTTACATTAAAATTACTTTTTATGAATTTTATCAACAATAGTAAATTAACGTATTGGCTAAAAGTTGTATAATTGGGTCTATATCGCAAGTCCGACAACTGAAATACCGTCTCTCGAAATCCCAACTACATCAATAGTTTATTATTAATAATAAACCTTTCGATATAGCCAGGATTTCGATACAGTCGGGATTTTGATTTACAGTATTTCGGTTGTCGGGCTTGTGATTGCCAGCATGTATTATTATGTATGTTAAAATTACTGATTTTTTTTCTTTAAAAATGTATTTTTATTTTAAAATTAATTTTGTGCATATAGTTTTTCAGAAATTAATATAATTTATTTCGAATTATTCTTAAATAATGTTTGAAGATCTTGCATATAATGAAAAATATAAATTCAACTCGTGTTCTTAAAATACTCTTATATTGATATAGAATGCACTGGCACCTTGTTTCTGCTTTAATGCCAAAACAAGTTAAATGTAATTTTAAAACAGTAAATTAAGAAATGTGCAAGAATTTTGCTAAGAACAAAAACTCAATTTATTCTTCAACTTTCAACTGCAAGCTAATTGGAATATAATGAGAGATGGTTGGGTGTGAACCAGTTTCTATATTTTTCAAAAATTTCTAATTACTAAACAATGTTTACATATATACTTAGTTCATCAACAACTTTAATAATGCATTTCTTTTTTTAAATACAACAATGACAACATATTTGTACACACTAGACACCTAAAAATGGATCAAGTAAATGGAATATTAGAACTTAAATATGGAATTTCGTTAGGTATATATATATATTAATAAATTTTATGGGCCCGTCCAGACTTGAACGAGAAGACAACGAAAATAAAAAGAAATATAGAACACGACATCATTCTGTGGATTTCGGTTAAAAAAAACCGAAACGTTATATAACATGCCATATAATTTTACATCTAAATTATATTTTTAAAAGTAATATTGCAAAATGTACAAGATTGTGTATGTATGCGTGTGAATAATATCTCGTTTTTGAGTGTAGGAATAATACTTAGAAGAGGATGTCGTCGTCTCCCTCATCCAACATGTTCGCAGCAGCATACTTCTCATCATCGGCGGCTTTCGTCGCGGCTTTGTACTTCTCAGCCTTGGCGCGAGAAATGCGTTTCTTGTCCTGGATTTTCTTCAGGCGGTAGAACTCTTCTCTCTCCAACTCGTCCAGCTCGGAGATGATGTACGCTAAAGTCTTTTCTATTCTTGGTATGATGACTGCAATAATTATGATACGAATTATTTTTTTTAACTTATACAAATTGCAACAATCGTACCGTGCTCAATAGCGTTGACTCTTCTGTTCGTGATTTTGATGACCTCATCCAAAGTGACGAAAGACGTCTGCAGAGACGCCAATTCAACCAAGAGCTTCACAGCGCTCTGATAGTTCTTCTTCAACTTGGCCAATTGTTGACCACCACGAGCCAAACCCGCCAATTCATAAGTATCAGTGCCATCTTGGTAGCTCTCGAACACAGGCAAAGTAACACCTTGAAATCAAATCACATTAGCTATTGTAAATCTTATATAACAAACATCAATCAACCTGCTACATTGTCTTTCTTGGTGCGGATTTTGATTTGAGCTTTAGTCACATTCTGCAGAACAACCTGGTTGAAGTCTCCTGTGGTGAATTTAGCTTCAGCTAGAGAAAAGGCAGCCTCTTTCATAACTTCGCCCATCAACGTTTTGGTCTGAAGATGAAATTCTTATTAGAATAAAAAAACTTAAATTTTTAACTAAATTAATTACCTCGATGATCTTGCCAAGAATCATGCGGAAACGCATCTGCAGAGCGTCGGCCTTCTTCTTGAGAAGACTGTGACCCTTCTGGGCTCCCTTTAGCCTAGATTTCATCAACATTTGGGCCCTACATTTGGAGAAAGCGAAATTGGGTTAATCGATAGGCGTAACAATAATTTGTATTATATTCGTATCGAATCCATCAAAAACTTACCCTCTGGAAGGGAAAATCGGCAACCTATCTTTTCCAGACATCTTTAGGGAGTGTTTTCTTGACAATTTTTCACTCAAACACACATACACACACTCTACGAATGTCAGCTGACTTTTCCTACTAAATACTGTCATGAGATTCCACTGGCACGGGATCTGTACGTCACAATGGGAAATACCAGTTGCTACTTGCGGTCACAGATGGCACTCTCATCGTATTCGTATTGAAATTTAAGAAAATGCAAATAAAAAGAGGCCTATATCCAAATCCCGACAACCGAAATCTCGTCAATCGAAATCCCGATTGTGCCTATATTTTTAATTTATGTTTTATGTTATACTATATACCAGGGATGGCCAGACTTTTTGCAGCAAGAGCCGCACCTAAACATTTTGGTATAAATATTTGTGTTTTGTTATGGCTCAACTAGCCAAAACAAGACTCTTGAAGAGCCGCATGCGGCTCGCGAGCCACAGTTTGGCCACCCCTTCTATATACGCTTCGGAATAATTTAAAAATGTTATTGTATAAATAATAATAATAAAAGACACTGTCGGGATTTCGTTAAAGCTGGGATTTTGATATTGTCTGAATTATGGTTGTCGGGATTTTGATATAGTCGGGATTTAGAACGTCGGGATTTTGAACGTCGGGATTTTGATATAGAATAAAAAGGCACTCTTGTAGTTAGTATACAGTCTTTTTCTTAATCTTCGAAGTCTCAAATCCATTTATATTTATATAGTAAGCACTTACGAGGAACCTAATATTTCTTAGATAATTTGAAAGAAACGTGCCTAATTTATATATACAACACTTAATAATGTTTCATTTTTATTAAATTGTTGTAAAATTTTGAAAAAAATAATATAAAACTATAACGTTGAAGGATTAATGCTTTACTTGCAAAGACCTGAGCCCTGATTCTCAATAGACATTTTAAAAGGAATCTTCTAAACTAATATATATTAATACAACAATTGTTTCCACGTTTAAATATAACTTAATTTTAATTCAATTTTTTACAACTTCCAGAAAAATGTTCTAAAAATGAGAAAAGAAAAATATCAAATATGTCGACATAATGTTAAAACTATTATTACACTAGAAATAAAATAACATATATTCAAATATATTGAGGATAAAAACTTGTTGTTTAATAATATCAGTCATTAAGAAAGAATCAGTACGTAATGCTAGATAATGGAGTCTATAATTGTTGGTTACCATGAATGAACATTCAATGTAAATGGCTGTAATTGTGCATTAAAAGATGTATATAATTATAATAAAATACTTTAAAGTATCTATATAAATAAAAACCTAAAGAATATTTCAGTCTCAAACATACATTTTTCAGTGAGTGATTCAACTGTGATTAAGGTGAAAGATTTATTTATTTTCAGAAATATTTATTACATAAATTATTTTAAATATAATTTAACAAATTAAAAAACTACAGCAATGTCTCCCATAATACAGGTAATCCCGGAGTATTTGAAACTGGAGAAACTAAATACCTATAAATTCGGAAAATTAGAGACAATTTATTAAAATCTAAAATTTTAGTCCATTTTTCTAAGTACGAACGGAATGTTTTCTTGTCTTAACTTAATTGTTACTCTTGTTTTCTCTATTGTCGGACAATTTTCTCTGTTGATGGTGGACCAAAATGTCTTTCTGCTGTTCTGTTTCCATATTGTTTTGCATAGTTAATCACATTTAGTTTATACCTCACGTTATATGAAAATCTTTTTTGTTTTGTTTTCAAATTTAGAGACGATTTATTGAAAAAATATTTTAATATATCATTTGCACCATAAGACGCACTAATTTTATATGTAAAAAGGTGCGTCTTAAAGTCCGAAAAATACGGAAAAATAAAGTCATAAAAAACATAAGTAGAAAAGACATGACAATTTGTATAAGAAAATGTGTATAAAAAGTAAATTTTAGAATTTTCAAATCGGATAATGTATTTATTTACTCGGGTGTTCAATAAAATCATGCACTTTTTAAGAATTCAAAAGTTTATTGAAATAACAATTATAGAGTGATACCTCGACATACGAGTTTAATTCATTCCGTAACCATCCTCGTATGTCAAATTGCTCGTATTTCAAAGCATATTGGGATCGTTGCTTGCGGTGCAGCGGTGTAGCGGCGTAGTGTGCGATTCCTCGTAAGTCAAATCTTTCTTTCATCTCAAAGCAAAATATCGCTCGCTTGACGGCTCGTATCTCAGAACACTCGTATATTAGGGCAATTGTTTATCGACTGTATATGATAATAAACTAATATATTATGTAATCTCATTTAATTTCAATAATTTTCTGCCAGCGTTCAGTTGTTGATTCCTCGACCATATAAAGCATTGTCTTTCGGGGAGGAAAATCTTGTTTGCTACTGATCTTTATTCACTCATTCTTTAAGTTCTTTAATCTTCACATTCTTCATCTCCTATGACGATTAATAGTCGATGATGAGCAAATTCAAGACGCTGTCAAACAAGCAAAGATGAACGCGATGATTTGTGTTGTTTTCGTTGAGCTTATGAGGAATCCATAACCCAAACTTTTGGACTATCCTATCGATTGAAAATGATTCAGCGGTGAACATACGAGTTCATCTGCCAAGTACGGGACTTCCTAACCTAGAACTATTACTTTTATAAAGCAATGAAACTATTTCTGAGCTGTTTTTTTTGCAACGAAACCATGTCCGTAGACAGCACTGATATTAGGAGCGGCTAGGGTAGCATTACAGCCGTGATAAAGTCGGAGAGAAGAAGAACCTGCACGTTCATAAACTTCAGGGTTAAACGCAACTAAATATAAACAGCAATTAAATAATTAATAGACATAATGTGGACAACACAATAATTAATAGACAAAATGTATAAAATTATAAAACTACATGTATTTCAGCACTGAATAATTTCGTAATTAATGGTTCAATGCAATATCATATTGTGACCTAACTAATTCATTATAATTTAATTTGTTTAGTTTCCAGCAGTAACAAAATTATGCAAAAAAATATTTTTAATTAAACAACGATTCATTTACTACCAATAATTTTTATAAGTGTTTCGTACAAAAATATATCAGCTGATTTATTTATTATGTATTATTAATATTTAAGCCATAAATAATATTTTTTTTGTTTTCTTAAAGGTTCTCCAATAAAATTTAAGTACGTTTTCACAGTATTTAAAATAAATTCAATTATTTTGGCATTAAATATTCCAATGAAATAAATAAAATAATATTTGAAATTTCAATGACTTCTGTGATATTTCAAGTAATTAAATAATAATTAATCAAAATTCGATAACATTAATTTGCGTAATTTAAATTTACTAATTATGTAATTTATGCGGATGGCTTACCTAATTTTAATGCACTAAAATTCAATCATCTCGTGAAGTAGTTTCTTAATCGGCTTAATTCGCTTAAGGGGTTTGAAAACTGCGGCGCTCACGGAAAATTGGTTTTCCCGGAAATCTCATCATTTAAAATAATTCAACGCGTTCAGGCCTGGCTTTCGCATATTTTTGTTTATGTGCAAAACATCATCTGTAACTCGGCGCATACACAATCAACCTCTTAATATTTATTGAGATAAAACGTCAAGATTAGTTTATTCGTTTTACCAAGTAAACGGAACACTTCAAAAATCCTGAAATTTTCATTCCAATTTTTCAGGGAACTTCAGTGTTCCGCGTACGATAGTTTAGGAAACCCTGAGTTAATGAAAGCATCATATTTAGAACAAAATGTTTATAAATATTTATAAATTTTAAAAAAATATTAAATTAAATTACGCCATGTGCCCGGCGCATCCATCAATTTGGTATTAATCGATTTCGAATTAGACGTATTATTAAATGTGTGAATGCCTGGGTTAACTTAATGACTTTGTTAGATCGTGTGAATGCGTGGAATTCAATAAGCGGTGAGGCTTGAATGATCTGAGAAGTATTTGCGGGGTGATGAATATGCGGAAAGGAATTTTATTGAGCGACAAAAGGGCATTAATAAAAAGCGGGAACGGGAAAATATGCGGTAGTCCGCGCCTGTTTTCATCCCGGGCGTTGGTTGAAGCAAGGAGCAGAGAGCGGAGGACAAACATCGTCCTGCCTCGCAGCTTTTAGTGCAGCCAGAAAGCTCGCAACGAGAACCAGCAGAAGGACAAAAGCTCCCACGCTCCCAGCACACGCGACTACAACAAGCAGCTTAGTTCACTACTTAGTAGAGAACTGTAACATACATCGGCGATAGCAGCGCTTCTGTAAATTTAAAAGAAAGCAGGTACCACGCAACCATAGGTTTAATTCAAAATTATACGATTTGTCGATTTTACTTTATTTTGAAAACTGATTGATTGTCCGTTTTTTTTTTATTAAAAGCAATGGAGTTTGGACCGATTTCCGCTGGGAAATTTGAAGAAGTCATCGAACACTTGAGACAACATTTCCCCGATGAACCACTCAACGAATGCGTCGGGCTGTGCAAGACGGGAGAGCCCTGCGAGCTGCTTGAACACCACGACATGTCAACATTGGAGGAAGGCTTCTCCATCATGGCAATTGACCCAAAAACCGGCGAAGTAAGTCAACATTAATTATGCAATCTACACTCTCAGCGCGCGCTATTACATCCGAAAGCAATTACTCGTGCCATTTTAGAGCACAATAGATTCACTCCCCCTTGAGCGTAGTAATTTACGAAATACAAACGTGAAGAAGTTGGTACTTCTTTGCTTCAATTACCTAATCCATTTGTTACATCATTCAGTTATGTATTTTAAAAAAAAAACAATCAATTAAAATTTCGAAATAAAATCAACAAATTTTGAAAATTTTGATAAAGTTTGTAAATTTCCAATATGAATAAATTATTATTAATAACTATTTAAGACTATTATTGCACGTATTTCTTATTGTATGATGGTATTCGTAAAATAAAGTTCTTTCAAGGATTTTTTGTTTGCAATTCGTGCTGCTTATCTTCCAAGTTCTACCTCATATATTTCAAGAGAATTGTTAGCAATCTAATAGCTATTTCAAACGCAACTCTAAAAGAACTAAATAAATTAAGTCAAAACACGCTGATAAATTAAAATTAAGTATTTAAACTTTAACTTATTTATATATTATTTTACAAATTTTCTTATTATGAAATCGATATGAAATGGATATTATAAATTCATAGAGTATAACACATTTACATACCAAGTCGTATGAGTAATAAATATCATTATTTACAACGAAAAAGTCAACATTCCTCATAAATACTATGTAACTATTTTGTTGTTATCAATAGTTTAAAAAGATATGTTTATATTTGAATATTCACATGTTAAAAAAATGATTAAAAATATCCCATAATCAAGTACATTTATTTATTCTGTACAAATGCGCTTGATTGTCGCATATTTTGCATTTTTGTGCATTAATTTTATTTTTAAATAATTGTTTTAACTTCTTTTAAATTTCTATGAAATATGTTATATTATAGCAAATAATTAAATATATAATTAAAAAAAAATAGTTTATTTATGATTTATTAAATATTTATATTTTACTTAAGAGAAACAAAGAATATTTAAAATAAAATTGTTAATATTTTATATTTTGTTCGGTTTCCAAGTAATATTTAAATTTTGTAGTAGTAAATATTTAACGCATTTCGCCAAGTATAAGACGTTCCTTATTTTTGGGACCAGACATTTATATTACATAAACTATATAATGTTCGCGTAATTAGACTCCAATTATAATTAGAAATAGATAGATGGAAAAGCGTGTAATAGAGAGTGAAATGATTATTTTCTAACCAATTACATCCATCTGTGCAGAATGAAAAGCATTCGAAAAATTCCCATTCAATTAATTTAATTCCCGTTTTTATTTGTGTGTGTATTTGCTGTGCGCCTTGATTGGCAATTAATTTCGCGCAAGCTTTGCGGTGAAAGATAAACAAAACGAAGAGAAAATAATGAAAATGCCGGGATTTTCCTGTTTTATTAATTCCGCTAAATTGGCGTTTCCACTGCGTCGTAAATAGACGTTGGTATTTGTCGGAATATTTTTAATAAAGCCGGAGAGACAATGGGAATTTAGATCCGGATCTGTATTATTGGCATTCCTATTTCTCCTCCGAAGCTCCGGATTATTGCTTCTCTCCCCGTTCGCATCTAATGAAGCGCATTTTTCAGATTGCCGGCGTCGCTCTGAACGGCATCTCCAATCGCGGCGACAACGAGCTCGCTATTGAAGAGATGAAGTCGATCGATAGTATTCAATACAAGCAGATCTTCGGTTTGCTCTACAACACCAACCAGGAGCTCGATCTTTTCGCCAAGTATAATTTGGAGAAGATCTTCGAGTTGAGAATCTTATCTGTGAATTCGAAGTATCGTGGTAAGGGCATCGCCAAGGAGCTTTTCTTGCGCAGCGAGATCTTAGCTGAGGAGTCTGGGTTTAAGGTACATTAGACGAGAAGTTATGAAGGTGTATTAATCTAATTTTCTTGGATAGTTGATGAAGGTGGACGCAACAAGTAGATTCTCTCAGCGTGTTGCGGAGAGCCTGGGTATGTCTACTGCGAAGGCCGTGAAGTACAGCGAGTTTAAGGACGAGAAGGGCCAATCCATTTATAGCATCCAGCCGCCGCACGAGTATTACAAAGTCATGATCAAAGAGTTATCTCCAAAGAACTAAGGGCTTCGAATACTAAAAGCATTCACGACAATAAATAAATAAATTATGAAATCGCAATTTATACGTGGACCAAATGTTGGGGCGCTGCCACACCGCCATGCAGACGTAACATTCATGCCTCTATAAATGCGATTTGTACTCGGACTAAAGAAAACTGCAGGATTATATAACTATATACATATATATCGTACATCTTTGTTTTGTATGTAAGATTGCTGGATTGTAAATTGTGTATGCGTGTGTTTATAGTATTACCTACTTGATGTGCCAAATATATACAGAGTGACGTAGCAGCAATTTCATTTGTTTCTTTATTAGATTTATATTTGAACCATCCAACCCATTTAATTTTATTAACTTGAAGTTTTCAATTATTTAAAATCAAATAATAATCTCAATCCAGAAATACTGATTTACTAAACAAAACTTAACTTAAAGTTTTCTATTTATTTCAAATCAAAAATGATTTTCCACTCAGAATAACCGATTTACTAAACTTAACTAAATATGAAGTATTTTAAATTTCCATTGCAGAATAACATAATTTACTATATAAACATAAAATAAAAGTTAACAATTTATTTGACGATTTTATTGAAGAAATTTCTAAGTTAGTTGCATTCATTGACGTTTATCAATTAAAATACTGTTAATGTTTCGAAATTGTAATTGTATAGGAGGTAGTCAAAACGTTCCTGCGTTTTGCAACAACCTACCTTTATGAACAAGGATTTTCCACTTTCTTGAACATAAGACTAAAGCAGAGAAATTGATTGGACTCCGAAGACATGGCCGTCTTATCAATTAGACACACACAACAATATTTGAATTAGAATTCAAGAAGATTCATTTTATTCGTAAGTTGTTATGATTCCGATCACAATTTATAATATACAGAAAATTTAGACAAAAAAAAAACTAATATTGAAAAATACATTTTTGGACAAAAACAATAACAAAAAACATGTAGCCATGGATTGGAAGGAAATTTCTGTGGATCACAGGTTGAAAAACATTGATTTAAATCCGTGATTTGCATCCGGTGTGCAGTGAGAGGATCAAAGTGTGGCGCTAAAATTTAAATAAAACAATATTCATTCAATTGTTATCCAGTGAAGTCCAAAATAGAATAAGTGCCGCAGAAGTTCAAGAGAACCTCGAGACAAAAACAAAACAAGTTGAAACATGCTGATTTCTATGCTAAAGAATTCTCAAATTCTATGAATTGCTTATCATAAACTTTATTTTATTTGAGAAACTAAGTTATATTGCAGGTCATATTTTATATAGCTTGGAATTAATTTTGCAATTATGCTTCTACATTTTATTATTTAGGCTTAGTATTGACTTTTTATGTTAAATATTCAATATTATAAATAATCACATTGTTATAAATAATATACAAACATATTGCGTTTATGGTAAATTGTTATATTAAAACTTTATTTAATTGTTTTCCACTGAAGTTCAAAATAGAATAAGTGCCGCAGATGTTACCGCATAGGTGTCGTAAAAAAAGGTTGAAAAACGCTGATCTATGAATTGCTTGTCATAAACAACCTTTCATTTATATTGCAGGTCATATTTAATTTTTCTTGGAATTAATTTGCAATTATGCTTCTACATTTTATTATTTAGGCTTGGTATTGATTTTTTTATGTTAAATATTCAATATTAAAAATAATCACATTGTTATAAACGCAAATTGCGTTTTTGGTAAATTGTTATATTAAAACTTCATTCAATTTTTTTCCACTGAAGTTCAAAATAGAATAAGTGCCGCAGATGTTGCGGCATAGGTGTCGTAAAAAAAGGTTGAAAAACGCTGATCTATGAATTGCTTGTCATAAACAACCTTTCATTTATATTGCAAGTCATATATATTTTTTCTTGGAATTAATTTGCAATTCTGCTTCTTCATTCTATTATTTAGGTTTAGTATTGATTTTTATGTTAAATATTCAATATTAAAAATAATCATACTGTTACGAATAATATATATAAACAAATTGCGTTTATTCTAAATTGTTATGTTAAAACTTCATTAGTGCAATAATCAAAATGTTGCTGTAATTATTAGGATATTGCATTTTAAACGCAATCCGCAAATTGAGTGAGTATCCAGGAGATTCGGCCGCCTCCAGCGCCGCCCCAAGTTCAACTTCGTATTCTTGTTACCATAGCAACCTATCCTGAATCTCCCGCTTGGCTCTTCCTCGACCTACATACATTCGGCTCCATCAAGAATGGCTAATAATCATCAATCAGACGATTGATCGCCTTTAACGAGCTCGGCCTTTGTTTAAAATCACGTCGGTCGGCATGAAGAGGGGCGCGACCCGTGATGGACCGTGCCGTTGATTTCGGCACAAAAATTATTTATTGAGCGATAAACTGGCGGGTCAATTGCGCAGAATTCAACGGGGCCGTAATTACCAATTACCCGGAGGATCGGCTTGCATGCGAATCGTTTAATTTACGGATTTCGATTAAATCCTGCCTTACACCTTACAAATTGCACGCTACAACAGAATACTAAAAGCTTTCCGACACCAAACAACAACACACTCTTTTTTTAATTCCTTATTTTCCTTTGGGTTTTTCGTTAACTGAAAAGAAAACAGTTTTTATATATCTTTGACATTATAATGACGTTTTAATGTACAATATTTACAGATAACTTGGGAAATTTTTATTTTTGCTTTGGGAGTGCTTTATGCTTTATATGTTCATCCAAAAGTTAAAAGAAGTTCACTCTGTAAATTCTCTTGAAACTGAATATAAAACCAGGTAGTATTATCATCTGGTTCCTAAAATAAGGGATGTTTTACGATGTATGTAATATAAAGCAACGAAATTTCAATATAAATTGAACTACAAAACCATCTACTGCAACAGTTGAATTTGAGATGTCTTCAAGTACAGTAAGCGTAGAAATTCCTTCGATGGACGATAGCCCGAAAACTCCTAATCAAAGGCGTTACCCAGCGGCCGGACGTCTTCGTCGACGAAATATCATATCACAACCCAGCACGCCGAGGAGGTACCTTAACCACGTTAGACGCAAACGTATCAATTTTGATATAACCGAAAATGATCCTGTCATCTCATACGAAGAAGATGCTAAGAACTTCGCCGAGACACAAAGCGTAACTAGTAAACGAAAGCGGCGTGAATTTCTAACTCCTCCGAGAAGGAGACTATTCAAAAGGCGTCTACACATAGTTTACGAAGATTCCAATTCTCCGCAATGGGAAGGCGAATTTCAGAGCCCGGCTTCCGATGACGATTCTGAAGTCGATTCTCCACCGATCGAGGGTCCAAGATCAAGAATCTCATGCTCTGATACGTCCGATTATAATTCTTTAAACTCATCAAATTCTTCTTTAAATGAGTTAAATAGTTTAAATAACAATAGATCAAAACGCGCCAAGGTGGAAGAAATTGACGAAGAAGCAAAGAGTGAAGTTAAAAATAGGATGGATGTCGTCAATGATATTAACGAGATGATGTGGAAGCTGCGCATGTAATATGTTAACTAATACCATTGTTTTTATTTTAAAATATAGTGTATATATTATTTATTGAATAAAACTGTACAAATATTTAAGAACAACAAACTTTTTTTTATTTCTAATTTTCAAAAACGGTATGAGTACTTAGAAGAACTATACTTTCGTTGATTACAAATATCATGCAAATGTTATTCAATTTTGCACAAAAAAATAACACAAATAACATTCTGAACCCAAGTTTGGAAATGTTGTGATCACAAACAACAATAAGATGAAACTAGATTGACGACTAACCCGAGAAACTCTTTTCCAATTTTCAAACGATGAAGGGAGTTTGTAGTACTTGTATGAATTCGGGGGCTTGGTGAAGGTCTCTATATTCTATTAATATTTGTTTATATAAAAAAACGTACATATTGTGTTTATATATTATAATAATGATTGGACACAATACGTTTGTGTTTTGCATTAACAGCAAATACAAATTATATTTTTAAAGTATAGTCCGCTTTAAACAAGGATGACAAAGAAAATCGAAGATGGTTTATATATTCAAATACACATAATATATGTACACAAGTTCTAAAACTGATGTAAAAGGCGCGAAATCCAAGACTACTCTTCTCATCGTCATTCGTTATGCAAAACGTCGTTCATTAAGCGAGTCATTTTTCTTACAAATAATTTTGCTCGTTAAGCGAAATGCTCCTTATACGAGGTGCTCGTAAAGCGAGGTTACAATATATACTTTTGTTGATTCCAAATATTTAGTTTGTTGGGTAATTCTTCCAAGAAATGATTTAAGTCCTAAGGAAAGTGGGGAGAAAAAATAGTGCTGTTCCTTCAGTTGATTCTACAAGCCTTCAGCGAAGTGTATCTAGAAAAATTGAAAGAGTCATACAAAATGGCTAAGAAACATAGGACCAAAAACTATGACGACGATTCGAGTGTTAAAGTTCCTGGATCGGAATCGTGCGATGACAGCGGAATTTCGCATTCGCCAATAGCCGTCAGGTCCCCCAGAACACCGACTGATTACAGATGTTATCCAAAATCACCTGAACGAGAC